ATGAATATGGCACCAAACATCTCTCCGAACACTGAGTGGAGCCAAAACATTTCTTGTTCAATCATAGTGTAGTCATGGTCAACTATTCTGCTGTTGTTTCTATAACCACAGTATCTGAGAAACTCTCAACAGAACCAATGTGATTCAGAAAATATGCTGACCATACCACCAAACAGTACTCCAAGGTGGTCCTAATCAGAGAGCAATATAAGAGCCTAGTGGACTCCACTGAAAAATATTTGCAATTTCTCAGAACAAAGCCTAGTATTTTTGAACCCTTTACCAAGATTATATTAATATGTTCAATAAATGATAACTTTTCATCCAGAATCACTCCTGAATCATTAATCCTAGACACATAATGCAACTCTTTATTATCAATCAAGTAACCAGTCTCTACTCTACATGCTTTACGGGAAAAGCTAATAAAACAGCACTTATCCACATTCAACTGTAGCTTATTACTGACCACCACCCAGCTAACCCATCCAGATCTGCCTTGCCTGCAAAAGTTGTTGGTCCTCTATACCCTTCACAGTCCTCCACAACTTGAAGTCGTCAGCAAATTTTAACCCCTTGCTGTTATGAATACATTCTACAATGTCACTGATAAAGATATTGAAAAGCAATGGAGAGCAGTGGCCACGCTGCGGGACACCAGAGGAAACGTGGACCGCCCCTGACAAGAAACAACCAATTTTCATATATTGAGTACGGTTGATTGATGAACTTTGAATCCATGAACAAAAATTAGAATGAAATCCAACCTTGCGTAGCTTATACAAAAGTAGCTGGTGGTCAACACGATCAAAAGCTTTAGAAAAGTCCGTGTAGATCGCATCAATAACCTGCTTGCGTCCATACTCTGCAGAATATCTGTCTGATAAACTACTAAATTTGATGCAGTAGACCTATCCTTAGTAAACCCATGTTGCACTTCCGGACACAATCCCTTGCATGTCCAAGTCAATTGTTTGCTTACAAAACAGTCAAAGAGCTTTGGAATGGCCGACTGGATACAGACGCTTCTGTAATTTGCAACATTATCCGTCCGACAGCTTTGGAATATTATTACAATATGTATAACTTACTTTTAGTCCAGGAGGCAGTGAAATTTTTTAGCACTTATTTTCCCAGTTGGTGTATACCTATTATCTTGGTGATACAAAACAAAAATATTTGATTTTTGCAAAAATTTTCGGATGGGTTCACAAGATCAATGAAAAATAAAAGTACGCTGATTTTCCCAGTCATAAATATTTCACATTCACTACAATAGAACATTTGCGCCTCAACCCATCGGACAACCCCCCCCTAAAAATATATGAATTTTGCTTAGAATTACTAACCCTACAATTCTATCCATGTCGTTGGACTGGGAAAATAAGTGCCGAAAATCGTCACTGCCTCCTAGACTATTTCGAGATGTCAGGGTAAACAAATGTTTGCAATGATGTATTGAATATAAGAAACAGAGGCAAAACAATAGTACAGACGCACTTCCTCGGAAAGTAGTTAGGTACCCCGTCCGGACCTGTGGTTAGTTTATCAGGTAGAGCAGAAATCTCGGCAGATATCCGACCTTGATATTCTAGTGCAATTAATATTACTGCTTATATTATTATCCATTATTATCCACATACTCATGATCATTGCTGGCGTTGTTATTAGCATATACTGTCTGGAAAAAGTCCCGAAATAAATCTGCAATATTCTGACCATCAGCAGCAGTTTTGTCACCATAAAATAGAGAATCTGGAATGCAATGATTAGACCTCTTGTCATTAATATATTTCCAGAAAGACTTGGGTTCCTCCTTCAACCTCAGATCAATACCTGTAACATAGTTGGTAAAACAATCGTTCGACAGCCCTTTACACTCTGCCCTTAATTGAGAAAAGGCAGCATAATTCGCCTCCGGAGGCGTCACAATATACAAGGTGTGAGCACTCCTGAGTCAGATGTCTCAACTCGGCCGAGAACCATTTAGGAAAACTAGATGCTCCATACCGCTTCAGTGGAACAAAACAAGCTATACCTGTGGCCAGTATTTCATAAAAAAGTTTTACTTGCATATTAACATCATGTTGATGATAAAGTTCTAGCCAAGGAGTCATTAAGTGCACCAAAGTTGCCATTTCTGAAATCATAATAAAATTCATTAAATAACAACTTGTTATTAGAGCTGAGTCATACTGGACACAGAATATCCCTAGCTTGAACAATATCCAACTCTGAAACATTAGAAAAAACCAGATCGAGAAATGTATTACTATTATTTGGAATATTGTTATTTTGGTAAAGACCTTAATAACAAAACGCTTGTGCAATTATCAGGGCTGAATCATTTCGAGGGCACTAAACCAACACTCCAAACTCGTCATTTGACCATTGTGCATTGGGCAGGTTGTAATCGCTAAATATATAAATATTTAGGCTTGATGAGATTAAAGATCTTGGTATCATATTTGATTACCAGCTTACATTTAATTCACATATTCATAATGTCTCAACTAGTTCATCCAAGGTGCTTGGCTTTATCATTAGAAATAGTAAATATTTTACTAATCCAAGTACGCTTAGGCTTCTATACTATACCTTTGTTCGGTCAAAACTTGATTACGGCTCCATACTATGGAACCCAATATATACTTTTTACGCCAATGCAGCCGAGTCTATTCAGAGGCGTTTTCTTAAGTACCTCCATTTCAAAAGACATGGTTTCTATCCCGATAGAGGTTTTGACCATACTGCGTTACTTTTGGAGTTTGATGAAGTGTCTTTGGCTCAGAGACGAAGGCTCCAAGCTGTCAAGTTTCTGTATAACCTCTTGCATGGTAAAATAGACTGTCCAAATCTTATTGAGAGCATTTATTACAGGGCCCCAGGCTGGTGGGTAGGTATAATGAGACATTTTATTTGCACACTGCCAGAACCAACATGTTATACAGAAGTCCTTTATATTTTATGTGCAGAGTTTTTAATGAGGTTTCTGGAGACTGTGACATGAATGTCGATTCTATACAATCAATAATTCAGGCTGTACTGAATGTTTAGATTTTTGCTTGACTTGCTTACCTTCTTTTTTTGTTACAATTGTTACACTATACTTTGATATTGTTTGTTATCTTGCCTTAATTATAGTTTACTCGCATCTACTTGAACACCATTTTTGTGTCTACCTGCTCTATTTTTTGTTTATTCATTTGGTTTTTTTATTTTGTTTTTTTACTTTATAGATTTGTTTGTTTGTTATTTTTATTTATTTAATTTTTTTTTGTACTTTTTCCTGTAATTGGGATTATTCCTGTTGGAAATAAAGACTTATTTATTTATTTATTTATTTTATTTATTTTGAGATGGGTGAGGATGACGAACATACTCCACAGTCTCAGTGCTGAATGTAAGCCTCATTGGCGGATTGGGGGACAGAAAGATAAACACCTCCGATCACAAACTGAACTTTGTCCAATTGACACAGCAAAAACAGTTGTTCCACACGATTTTCGGCAAGCAAAATGCATTGCGACCTAATTTCGTTGTTAACAAACCTAATAACTCCCCCACCACCATAATAACTCCCCTACCATCAACATACGCCTATCAGACATGCTCGTTCTTTTCCACGATTCCGTTTTTCCTCCGCATCCCTTCGATCATGTCGCCCAAAATACTACCAGCCGTGATGATACTTTTTCATCATATGGTCTATTTAGAGCCGCATAGGATTTTTGTCTTATCCGTCCTTAGTTTGAGACCGATGCTTTCGTATGCTTGCTCAAATGAATTGAGAACCATTTGTAGTGCTTCATCGGTGTTTGAAATGACAGCGTTATTATCAGCGTATTGAAGCTCACAAACAGTTGTTGTGGATTTTCTTCTCGAAATTGGCTTAGGTTGAATAGCTTACCATCAGTTCTATAGGAGATTTCAACGCCCAACGGCAGTTTTGGACAAGGTGAAGTCCGGCTCCTACAAATATAGAGAATACGAATAGCGAAATGACACATCCTTGCTCGACTTCGGTTTAAATTTTAAAGATTTCTCCTGCTGGTAAAGACATTGGCGTTCATATACAGTAAACCAGGTACATCTTGATGAATTTAGGTGGACAGCCGTGCAATGCCAGTATTTTCCAAAGAGCGACTGAATTATCAGAGTCAGCCATTTTGACAAGGTCTATAGATGCCCTATGCAAAATTTTGTTGCGCAGAATGGAAAAAAAGAATAATAGGATTCGTAATGAACCAAAAGTAAAAGATGTCTCGGTACAAACCACCAAGACTGAAATGGGAATTTGGTGGTTGATGCAAAAAAACAACAAATGAAACAGAAACATTATACATTGGAGATCATGGAATCCATACGAAAAAACGAAGACCAAAAAATCGAGGGTCAGATGTTATAAAGAAACATGCGTAGCCACTGGCCAAGATGATGCCGAGGCCTATATCCAAAGGCTTCGTGGCTGATTAGCTAAAGATATAATACGTCGAAAATCACAAAAATCAATCAGTGGTTCACCAAGAAATACAAAAACCTTCCAGTTCAGAAGTTTTGCAGACCTGTACATCAGCACCAACCGAAGATGTCGAGAAAATAACACAATGTTTGTTAATAAATTCTAAGTATGATTTTTCTAAATTTAAGAAAATTGAGTCTATGCGTACATTTTCCATTTTGACGTCATCGTGCGTAATACCTAATCACTAGTTTTTTCTCAAAATCTGAATCTTTGAGACGGAACGGTATCCACTGATTAAGGGAAACCTTTAAGAATTGTAAATTTCAAAATCGTGCGGAAAAGAACTTTCCACACAGAAAATCGTAGGTACTTGAAAGTGCACTTTACTGCGTAGGAATATTACATTTTTGCCGCGTTTATTTTGCTATATCATAACGTATACTCAGAAGCGTTTAATGTAGCATCCGTAAGACACTCTACTACTCGCATATCCCATTAAAACCTAAATAATAAAAATATTCCCTCCCCTTCACAGATCGCCTCCTCAAACGTATTGTACCCTGGCGCGTTCTCGCAATGTAAATAAAATCAAAATACCGTAATCACGGCGGTGGATGGGTGTTATGTTTTACGTTACGACAATTATTTGGCTGCTGGCCATAGGCGGCCGTATCACTTTATGCAGCGAGTTTCCTGAACGAGAGTGCTGCGATATTACCACTACCGAAGCGACATCTACAGCTGGTGTGTTACTTACTTCATCAGCACCACGAACTGGTAAGTACTAATCAATTCTGCTCAACATATTATTATAACACGAGTTCCCCTAGAAATTATAACGATAAAGATACATTTATTCAGCGCTAGTACCTACATAAGATAAAAAGGGAATATTTCATTAGAAAATTATGAAAAGTTTAATTTCATCGGCGTGCGCATCACGAATAATGTTATTATATGCATTTTTACGACTTTCGTTTTAAATGTCGTGCCCCAAACGTGTAGCCATCATGCTTGGGGTAGTTTTGTGTGTGTGTGTGTGTGTAGCATGATTCAGGAAAATTGACTTTTTATCGAAAATCTTAATCTATGGCTGACTGACCGACCCATACCTTTGGCCATTAGCACAATGACTACTGACCACAACACGCAACACCGTTCACTCATTTTTATTAATTTTTATATGTTTTATATTTGAATAGGTTGCAGAAATACGTCAGAAACAATAATTTATACACATTTCCAACCTAAATCACGTGAAATTAGTCTTCATCGCTTATCAGCGGCATCGTTAAGTAAGAGGATTGACAACCTGGAAGATAAATTACCAAATATCGGTCCACAAATTCTCATTTCGGGCGGGTGTCAAACCTTAATTGTAATAGATCACTTTCTTCTAGATGCTAAACGTTTGATTAATGCGCCTTTCCTAAAGTAGATTGTAATTTGTCCTGGGAAATATGGAATATTTAATGTGAAGAAAATTGCTTTGTACTTATCACAAAGTTATTGGTTAGTAAAACGATAGACAATCTTAAACGGTTTTTCTCATAGAACTTGCTTATTTATTAAATGTAATCGTCAGAGTTTTATTTCAAGTGACACACTATACTCATCCACTAGTCGTATTGCAAATTCCTAATGCTGCCATGGAAAAGTTCATTTATAGGAAAATTGATAAAATCTGGAATACGGATGCGGTTTCCCAACCTAATGAACTGGCAAATGGCACGTAACGGATCCGAGCCAAAATTGTACAAGGAAACAAATTAGTCGATGTTTTTCTATACTGGGTGACGACGAGATTACTTTCCAAGCTCTAGTTTAGGCATGAAAATCGATATCGATGTAGAATTTCAGCATAAATTCAATTGACTTTCGCTTCCGGTTTGACCGCGAGTGCCATCAAATTCTATATTTCAAATGGATTACTCCCTACACTATAATATTTTTGGATTCTATGAGAAATTCTAAGCATATTTATTTTGAAGTTATATTACTGCAATAATTTCGATGGTACCCCATAATTTATAACTGAAAATTCGTATCCTAAGAACAATTTTGAATCTTTTTGGTGTACGCTTTCCTGGAGCTGAACTACTGTTTTCGAGATATTTCACATTTGGTGTAAGGATGTCTTTGGAATAACAATTACCAAAAACAGTAGGATCAATTTAAATCAAACATTTACTTGGAATGGGTCCTTCGATTTCTCATTTCTGGCTGCTATCTTAAAATACTCGATTTCTCGAAAACTACACATAGTAACACTTTCAAATTTGTAGGGCAGAAAGGGGTTTAATAAAGCTAAAATTAAGTGTATCAAACATTTACTTGGAATGGGTCCTTCGATTTCTCATTTCTGGCTGCTATCTTAAAATACTCGATTTCTCGAAAACTACACATAGTAACACTTTCAAATTTGTAGGGTAGAAAGGGGTTTAATAAAGCTAAAATTAAGTGTATCAAACATTTACTTGGAATGGGTCCTTCGATTTCTCATTTCTGGCTGCTATCTTAAAATACTCGATTTCTCGAAAACTACACATAGTAACACTTTCAAATTTGTAGGGTAGAAAGAAGTTTAATAAAGCTAAAATTTAGTGTATCAAACATTCACTTGGAATGGGTCCTTCGATTTCTCATTTCTGGCTGCTATCTTAAAATACTCGATTTCTCGAAAACTACACATAGTAACACTTTCAAATTTGTAGGGCAGAAAGGGGTTTAATAAAACTAAAATTAAGTGTATCAAACATTTACTGGGAATGGGTCCTTAAAATTTCTCATTTCTGGCTGCTATCTTAAAATACTCGATTTCTCGAAAACTACACATAGTAACACTTTCAAATTTGTAGGGCAGAAAGGGGTTTAATAAAGCTAAAATTAAGTGTGTCAAACATTTACTTGGAATGGGTCCTTCAATTTCTCATTTCTGGCTGCTATGTTAAAATACTCGATTTCTCGAAAACTACACATATAAATTTTAGCTTTATTAAACCCCTTTCTACCCTACAAATTTGAAATTGTTACTATGTGTAGTTTTCGAGAAATCGAGTATTTTAAGATAGCAGCCAGAAATGAAAAATCGAAGGACCCATTCCAAGTAAATGTTTGATACACTAAATTTTAGCTTAGTTAAACTTCTTTCTACCCTACAAACTTGAAAGTGTTACTATGTGTAGTTTTCGAGAAATCGAGTATTCTAAGATAGCAGCTACAAATAAGAAATCAAAAGACCCTACCAAGTGCGTGTTTTGTACTCTAAAGTTCAGCTTTATTAGTCTTGTTTCTATCTTGCAAGTTCAAAAGTGTTGTTGTGTGTAGTGTTTAAGAAAAATTATACTTTAAAGGTAAGTAGATAAGCAGCAAAGACTGGAAAGCTAAAAACCGGGAGAATGTGATAATTTTATTCGATTATATTTGGTACCGCATTTCCATATCAATTTGTTTGTTTTTCATAAAAATAAAATATATTATTAAGTATTTATTATTAACTATTTCTAACTGATGTGCACTGGAATATTTGAAATTGATCAAATTAAATTATTATCCGACGCCACTGGTCGTTCGGCAATCTTCGGCTAAATTTTAAAAAACCTAATAATAATCCTATTTTTCATAAATACAGAGACTATAGTAAATTTGATATTGATCGGTTTTCATTGGATTTCCACCGGGTTGATTGGAATATTATTTACACTTTAGAAAATGTTGATGACATGATAGAGTTTATTAATAATAACATCTCTCTTTTATTTAATATTCATGCTCCATACAAAATATCTAGAATCACTAAAGCTCCAGCTCCTTGGCTCACTGAGAACTTGAAATTAATGATGAGGCTCAAAGATGGGGCATTTGTGAAATATAAGAAAAATAAAACTGAAAATAACTGGAATTACTATAAGGAACTTAGTAATTTAGTTAACGCTACAGTGAAATTGGAAAAAAAAAGCTTTTATAGAATTTAAATTAAGATCCAGTCCTAGATTATTTTGGAAAACCTTGAAATACTTAAATATTAAATCTGATAAAAGGGGTATAAACTCTAGTTTCTCAGACGCAACTGCGTTAAATGATTATTTTATTAATAGTATTCCACAATTCGTTCAAAACCCTAACGACTCGACGAATGTACTAAATAAATATCAGGGAAGATTGCCGACTTTTTCTACAGAGTTTACATTTGCTGAAATATCTAGTGAAGATGTGGAGAAAGCTGTACTTTCCCTTAAATCTAAAGCCAAGGGTTCTGATGATATTGATCTACATATGGTGATAGTTGTTTTGCCATTCCTCCTAGAGAAACTTACATTCGTAATTAACAAGTGTCTTATTGACAGCACCTTCCCTAAAGCGTGGAAAAATTGAAATGCCATTCCTATTCCAAAAAAAACCACGACTTCAGATTTGTCCCATTTCAGGCCAGTTAGTATCCTACCTTGTATATCTAAAATTTTGGAAAAAATTGTATACAAACAAATTAATGAATACTTTAGTTCTTTTGGTGTGTTATCAGATTTGCAATCAGGCTTTCGGCCCCAACATAGTACTACCACTGCACTTTTGAATGTTACAGATAACATTTATCGGGCTATCGATGATAGTAAGGCGACTTGTCTAGTCCATTTGGATTATAGCAAGGTATTTGACACTTTGAATCATGCTATTTTACTCACCAAACTAAAGTACTTTTGAATGAGTGACGCTGCATTGTTATTTTTGAAAACTATTTATCAGGTAGGCAGCAGAGGGTTTTGGTAAATGGGCAAGTGTCTGACTATAAAGTAGTAACTCAGGGTATCCCACAGGGTAGTATACTGGGTCCGCTATTATTCTCTGTATTTACGTCGGATTTTTCCTCGTTTCTAAATCACTGTAAAATACACCAATACGCAGACGACACTCAATTGTATCTCTCATTCTATAGTCATGATGCAATTGATGCCTGCAAGAAAATAAATTCGGATCTTGAAAGTTTTTTGAATGTGTCATTGGCACATAACTTAAAACTCAATGAATCAAAAACTGAGATGATGCTGTTTGGTAAAGGAAAGGATGCTGTTGAGGGCAATCCTAGATTTGAAATCAAGTTGAATAGCGAGGTGCTCATGAAAAATACTTGTTGCAGGAATTTGGGACTGTTGGTCGATGAAGATTTAAGATTTAACAAACATACCGGTAAACTGGTACAAAAATGTTACGCTACATTAAAAACTCTTTACGTTAATCGAGATGCTTTGGAAACGTCTGTTAAGCTAAAATTATGCCAGTCTCTGATTATTTCCAATTTGTCATACTGTGATGTCATCTATTGGCCTGCTTTACTTAGTAGAGATTAATACACATTGCAGAAGATTCAGAATAGTTGCGTTCGATTCATTTACAATCTAAGAAAATTTGATCATATTGGGATTTCAAGATAAGCGGTACTCTATCTGGCGGCAAATTACGGAACTAGTTTCTAGTACATTGTCATATGTTATTCTATTGTTTATCATTGTATTTGTGTGAATATTTTTGAGCTGTTTTTGAGTTTTTAAAGCGTGTTGGTGAATTATTAAGTCTAAATTATATCAGATACATTCAATTATGACCTCCAATCACTACTGTTGTGTTCCTCAGTGCAAGTTTTGGGCTAAAAAAGATGCTAACAAAGAGTTGAGTTTCCACACATTTCCCCTTGAAACAGGCCCGCAGGTTTATTTGGAAACGAAGATGGGAAAATAGTTAGAATGGAGAAGAAGAGCCTGGATTTTAAAACTTCTTATTGG